AGATGTGCAGGGGTACTGTCAAACGGAGCATTTGTGATTTACCACGCGAGAGCAATCCTAAAAATGAATTTGAAAAGGGTATTAAAACAGCTCAGAATTGAATGAGATTATAATATTTTTTATTTGATCAATGACAGAGGATATATGGCAATTGGTTTCATAAAAATATAAACACATAGTTTACATTTATAATACAGATCAATTACCCATAACCAGGAATTCCATTCTCAAACTAAATTAGTAAGTTTATAATATATGTTTCTATATAGCTTTCAAAATTTTTCAAATATTTTCAGAAATCAAAATCCAATCACAGATTAGAGAAGTATGCACTTAAGTACTCTTCGTTAACAAATGTGATGCCAATACACCAAAAAATATAGTTATTTATGGGTCTGTCATACTGGTGTACATGACATGGCTGCCAAATTGTTATATCACAGTGGAGTTACTTTCCGGTGTATGAATCCGAGTGTCTGGGCGAATTCTTTAAATTCTTTTCCACTGAATGGTGGTCCATTGTCCGATCTCACGATTTCAGTGATCCCAAACGTAGCAAATGTTTTGTCTATTACAGGTATAACAGTTGCTGCTGAAGTCGATTTCATTACTTCGACAACAGGATACCGCGAGTAGTCGTCGGTGATAACTAGTAGGTATTCGTGTGCAGATAAGTGCTTGAAATCAATGATCACTTCTTTCCAGGCTGAAGCTGGTAATGGGGACATTTTCAACGGTTCACGAGTTGTAGAGGGTGTGGAAACTTGACACGCGCCACAAGATGCGACTTTGGCTTCTACCATGATGTTCATGCGATGAAACCACACTTTTTCTCTTAGCAGCTTCTTGGTTTTGACCATACCGTGGTGTCCTTCGTGGGCCAGGGTCAATGACTCTGTTGTAGGGAAGGTGGCATGATAATTCTTGTGCCTTTAAGGATGACACCGTGAGTCATGTTGATGGTTAGTTCGTTCTTGACTTTATCCATGGCTTTGTAGGCTTAAACGTCAATGTCAGGATGTTTGGAGTGCTTGAACCAGTTTCCGGTGTTTACTGCGTTCATCACAGCTTGAAGAGTTGGGTCGAGTCTCGTTGCATCGGTGATTTCCTGGATGTTGATTGCTTTGGGGGTTGACGTTACAGTAATGTAATCAACAAATTCTTCAGCTACTTTCTCCTGTCTGCTGGATGTCTTTGTGTAATGTCTTAGGCCACAGGGTGCTGAAAGTTGTTATACTCCTTGACTCTGGTGCTAGTTCTAGCTGATTATAGCCTTCGTTAAGGTCTAACTTGCTGAAGACCGTCACTCCGTGGAGGGCTTGGATTACTTCTTTAATCATTGGTGTCAGGTGTCGCTCTAGCTGTATAGCTTTGTTGGGTTGTCTCATGTCGATGCATACTCTAATTTTGTACCAGTCTGGATTAGTCACATGGAAAACCATAAATTTAGGAGAAATTTAGCAGGGGAGTGTAAAGTTATTGTATACGTTTTGTTTATAATAGTATTTCCGTTTACGTTTAGTAGCTCGTTTCCGCTTTAGCTTTAGTTCCGTTGTCATTTTAGTTTTCCCGCGTGTATTCTAGTTCTTTGTATTACAGTGGAACCTGGATTTTACGATATGCCTTGGGGGAAAAAAATCATATCGTTAAATCGAGGTATCGTTGCACGGAGGTTCTCGATTTTACGATATTTATGTAAAAATATCGTTAAATCGAGGTCCGGCATTGTWATGTATTTTTACTTGTAAATATTAAATACAGTAAACAAATTCTTCACAAATAGTTCAACCAGTTTAATTTGAATATCCACGACTGTCAAAGAATGTACAGTAACTAAARCAATGTCAACAAAACTATTACAGGTACAGTACATGTACTGTATAATAACGCATTTTCAGTCCAGTTTATACAAATTCTTTGATTAGAGTTTGGCGCTTTCTATTTACGCTTAACAAAGTAAAGGTCTCTTCCATTCTGCTTAACGATAACAAAAACTCATGCTCTTTTTCACCTGACTCTGTTGACGACAGAAAACGAAATCCCTTAAGTTTCTTACATGTTCTGTCGCTTGTAGGGAACTAAGTATTTTGGGCGGTTCTACTATCTCGACCTCGTCTTCTTCGGATTCTACCTCACTACAATCGGCCCTAGACTCTGTGTCTTCTGTTGACTTAGCTGCCTCAAGTGCTTCTCTTGTAGCATCCTCGGCGGTCAGTTGCCTCTCTGTGAATAGATCGTCATCTACAGATGCAAACTCCCCAAAGGACATATCTGCAATCGAAGGATAGTGCCTTGCAAGCCGTTCCCAAATTGTATCACCTGTGTCACGACTTTCTGTACGATCAGTTGCAACATCCTCTTCATCAGACTCATCAGA